AAATCGCGTCTAGATTGGCATGGATGCTTTTGCACAAAAGCAGTGCCAATCTAGACGCGCTTTTGCGGAAATACTTTTAACGGAAAAACGTTTCCGTTAAAAGTATTTCCGCAAAATCATGCCAGTCTAGACGCAGCCGACTAGTTTTAGGTTATACAGCTAGGTAGTGGAAGGGTTGGGAACAGGACCAAGGAGTTCTTACTTTCAAACTAACCATCACAGCTTGAATTTCATACACTGAATGATCAGACTAAAGTGTTCTCATCTGATCTATAAGCCAACAGTTGTTCATAGTGTTACCCCTGGGGCCTGAATAACACTCAAATATGGCCTGCTGGTGAAAGCCCCAGTCAAAAGGAAACAGATCCGCCCCCTCCCTCAGGATCTGTCACCTAAGATCTGCTCCCTCCCTCAGGATCTATCACCTGTGAATTAGGCCCGTAAGGAAGACAAAGGGAAAAGAAAAACAGACTCCGATTAAAGGTGAAAACAAGAAGAAACTGTATTGGGGTTGTATACAAAAATAGGGTAGAGCGGGGGAAGAAGCCCGGCGCAAACTAATAACCATCAACAAAACAGTGGAAGTGAACAGTAAAAACCCTCTATATAACCACAGTCTGCATGAAAATAATTGGTAAGTTCTACCCCAAATACAAATGGCTACTTGCTCTTCTTGAACTTGAGTGACAGGATCCGGAGAGTGTTGCTCGGGACCTACAACCCTTAGGCTGGTTGAGAGCCCTCATGGAGGTACACCGGGGAGTCCCTTGCTAATGGTAAAGGAATCCCAAAGAGGATGGCAGGCAGGTGGTATTTGCAGGATGGAAGGTGATAGATGGGATTCCTCTTCCGCCCTCCGGATTGGTCTGCAGCTGGATCAAGTCTCTCAATACCTGCGTGAACACTGTCTCTTGGATGGACAGCACCCCTCCTGGGCTGCATCCGAGCTTATATAAACTTTTGGACAGGAAACCTCTGAGGTGGTTTGCCCTTCAGTCCACAGAAAGGTGGGAAAATCCAGTTTGTACTGGTTCTTGTTTACCACTCCATATGAAGGTCCCCTCCCTGTCCCAAAGTCACGTCTTGCAAACTCCATTTTGTCCGTATCAACTCCATTTTGATATTTATCCAAACAGCCCAAAATACCATTAAACATCATCAACCTATTAACCTATTTTACGTAATAACTATTTATCATGACAGAGGGTCAGCCTACAATAGTAAATATTCAGCAAAGATTTTAGGAAAACTGGAAGGTTAGAGAATGATGAACTGCTCAGAGACAGTGGAGAGAATCATCAAAATTTGTCAAATGTGATTGGTTATGACTTATTGCTTGGTCTTAAAAGAGAACAACAAGGACCTGTGTGCCCTCTGCTCAGATAATCAGGATTAAGACTTTGTCAAATATTTCAAAGAATGGCCCAGGTCACCACCAAAGGGGATAACTCTCAGAGCACTATTCTAGCCTCTCCTCTTTGTGAGTGTGTGACGGGTGTCCATGCCCCTCCCTCCTGCTGGTCCGGCTCTGGCGCTGTAGGCGGAATAGGCCCCGCGGCAGTGCTGGTGCGACGCATGCTCCCTGGTGTTCAGGGAGTTTAGTGCCAGCCTGACATCAGGGGAGAAGGGTGGGGGGAGGAGGGACACTGAAGCTACACCCCCCATGCACAGGAGGCGTCCCAGTGGGAGATTTAAACCCACTGGGTGTGCTGGCTGGGGGGGCCGCTGGAGAATGCCACGCACCAAACTGGGCCCGGATGGAGTGCAGCGCAGCGAGAGCCTCTGATCTGCGGGCCAAAGAATGGCCCAGGTCACCACCAAAGGGGATAACTCTCAGAGCACTATTCTAGCCTCTCCTCTTTGTGAGTGTGTGACGGGTGTCCATGCCCCTCCCTCCTGCTGGTCCGGCTCTGGCGCTGTAGGCGGAATAGGCCCCGCGGCAGTGCTGGTGCGACGCATGCTCCCTGGTGTTCAGGGAGTTTAGTGCCAGCCTGACATCAGGGGAGAAGGGTGGGGGGAGGAGGGACACTGAAGCTACACCCCCCATGCACAGGAGGCGTCCCAGTGGGAGATTTAAACCCACTGGGTGTGCTGGCTGGGGGGGCCGCTGGAGAATGCCGCGCACCAAACCGGGCCCAGAGGGAGTGCAGTGCAGCGAGAGCCTCTGATCTGTGGGGTCAGTCAGCAGCCCCATGGGGAGTGCGGTCAAGTAGGAATAAGAGATCCTCCGGAAAAGGCTTTATTTTCCGGAGAATCACGTCTAGACTGGCGCTTTTCTCCGGCTTATCTCCAAGCCGGAAAAAAGCGGCAGCCATGTTAATGCAAATACCGCGGGGGATATTTAAATCCCCCGCGGATTTGCCTATTCCAAAGTGCTACATTAGCATCCCTTTTCCGGAAGGGATGCCAGTGTAGACACAGCCAAGTATTGTAGTGCTCTCTCTTTACTGTGAAAATGTAACTTACAAATGTAGCTTTTTTTTGTTACAGAACTGCACTCAGAAACAAAACAATGTAAAACTTTAGCGCCTATACATCCACTCAGTCCTACTCTTTGTTCAGCCAATCCTAAAACAAATATGTTTGTTCACATTTATGGGAGATACTGCTATCAGCTTCTTATTTACATTATCCAAGGCTGTCCCTGTCAGTGTTGATGCCCTATACAGTCCAGCACTGGCACAGGCCATTCTCCATGGGGAACTGGAGCTGCAGGGGCTGAAGATGTGGGGGGTAGTGCGTTCCAAACTCTTATGGCTCGGACACCATTGATTGCAATGGTGTTTGGTTTGTCCAGTCCAGGGGAGTTGGCAACCCAGGAGCAGGGCAGGGAAGGAGGCTCACCTGCAGCCTCAGGGCAGTAGGCGGGAGGTGCAGGTGGTGGCATGCAGTGCCAGAGTGGACCAGAGAAGAGGGCAGCCATGCTGCTGGCCGGGGAGAATTGGCACTTTGAAAGGGCACCGTTTCTTTCCAGCTGCCAGCTGCATGGCTACCCCTTGCTCCTCTGGAGTCCTCTGGCCTGCGCTTGCAATGCTTACTGCCACCTGATGAACAGGGGCTGGGTGCAGCCTATGGGACTGGGAGGGAGTCAGGCTTGGAACTGTGAGCTTGAGAGCTGAGCCTGAGGGAGTAGCCATTGGATGAGGTCACTGGAGCTATTCTGCCTGTGGCTGCTTAATGTCCTATCTCAAGGAATACACAGCATATAGGTGCCCAAAATTTAGTGGTGACCCATGTAGCTGCTTATGTCAAGTCAAGAAGAGCCCCAATGTCACCTGAAAGTGAGACCAGGTGTTTACATGGCACTTTTGTAGCTGGTGTTGCAAGGTATTTACATACCAGATATGCTAAACATTTATATGCCCCTTCATGCTTCGGTCACCATGCATAAGGATATACTTCCATACTAATTTAAAAAATCATGTATTGATTAAATTTTTCCCCTCTCTGATCCATTGCTGCCCCCTGTGGTCATTATATTGTATAACTGTCCCTGCTAGCAGAGCCCTCCCTTGCCAATATATGAGAATCTCATTTCAGGCACATCCCATTGTCCTGCATACCAAATGTGGTGGTCCTAGCTCTGACTGTTCAGAAGGAGGAGTTCTTGAACAGATAGACACAGGCTCTTGCCAATATATAACAGATGAAAGAGAGATAAAATGTGCACTTTCACTGTGCATTCTGTATTGTAATTTAAATCAATATATTTGAAAATGTAGGAAACATCCCAAAATATGTAAATAGTCAATTATTGTTAATAGCATCACACGCACTTTTACATTTTAATCATGTAATTAATCACAATATATTTTAAAAAAAATCGCTTGATAGCCCAAGATTAAAAAAACAAAAACGAAGCAGCGAGTCAACAGTGGCAATTTGTCAAGGCACAGGTAGAGGAAGACGACTTCTGTCTCTTTGGGTGGTTTGTATTTTGTCACCAAAACCAGGGCGTTTCTGCCACCAAGCGTCGCGCAGCAGGGTGTACACATGCAAAAGTTCGTCAAGAAAAGCTGCCTGTTCGCCATGGAATGTTGTCGTGTTACGCGCCCAGCATCACAATCCCCCTAGAGAAGGGTGGGGTGGGGGGGGGAGGGGGAGAGGGGGAGGAGCGTGTGGAGGAGAAAAAGAAACTACATTTCCCGGCATCCTCGGCGAGGAGCATGACAGACTACATTTCCCAGTTTCCCCGGCGCGTCATACCGCGTGCGGCGGCGCCTGTGCCGTTGTCCCCCAGCGGCGGCGGGGCACGG